CTTGTCTAGCTATTCTATTCCATAATACTCTCCCTCTCATCCAGGTGTTGCTGTTTTGTTCTATGTTCTCAAGAACAAGGGAACATTTGAACTGTTATTAGAAGGAATGAGGATGGTGAAGATACCACCCTGGTGGGAATAATGATGGAACAGCATATATGATTCTTTAAAACACTAAAACAGCTTAGCATTTGGATGTTCCTCCAACTGCATTTTTTGATTTAAAAAGGCAGCCGCAGCAGCAGCCACCCCATTGCAAAGATTGACATCTAAATGTTACTGCAGCCTTCCTGCTCAGGGATCAGCTATGACCCATCAATTCAGAAATAGAGTAGCTGTAGGAATAGATGAAATCCTGGGAAGACCTGTATATAACGCCCCCCCCCCCGCTCTGCTCCACTTTAATATTGGATATTCTAAATAAATAAGAAAATAACTAATAATTCCTCGAACAGGAAGCATGCTCATAGCTGTTCTCTTAAACACTCAACCCATCCTTTCAACATCTCAAGATGCTGGGTAACAGACCAGCACAGCACCTCTTGATACCACACATGGGAGAATGTTAATCACCTCAAGGACCATATTTATATTTATCCTGGTCATTTGCAACTTATACATTACTGTCAAACAATCATCTTTTCCAGTATTTTGTGACTAACTGCCTCAGATCAAAGTAAGGAGCTAGAACTATGTCACTTCCATCTCCTCTTCCAGATCCAAAGGATCCAAACTATTTTTGCCTGGCAGAAAAATGATGGGAAAGAGACAGCCTGTTGGAGGGATGGATGGGCATACTTCTGTCTTATTCTAATTTCTTCAAAGATTAAAAAAAGAGCAAGCCTGAAAACCTGCTACCAGTTCTTAAAACGATACACTATCTACAGAACCAAGAGGCACATTCGTGGTGCAATGCAATATGAGCCTGCCCCAGACACAGCCTTCAGTTTGGTTACTTTAAACTGCTGTCTCTGTTTTATTTGGCAGAAACAAATCCAAGGAGAATTTTCAAAGCAGAAACTAGAAATGGGCAAATTGGTGTTAACGTAAATCAATACTGAGCTCTTAGAATACAAGTGTACTGACACATTTCTGCAGAAACTCTACAGAACATCATATGAGTCCCGTTGGGCTGGATCCAAGATCTATCCTGTTTACAAGAACAGATTCCCAGGTGGTCTCCCATCTGACAGAAAGCCACCATAGAAATCAAATGTGTAGGAGAGGTATAATTTACTGAAAGAAATCTATATGGCCCTCAGTTTCTATCTGCAGGTGATCAACAAAGCTGGGCTAGAGAAGTGAATGGCACAGGTTGGAGCGAGCAGCACAAAACAGAATTCAATACATTAGCCTGGTCTATTTAAATGATTCCTCCTTTGTTAAGGCTCCTTCCTTGGCTGCCTGCTTTGAAAAAAAACAAGCCACAAACAATTAGCAATATTTCTTTACAGCATCAGAGCCCAGAGGACCCAACCACAATCTGCACTTCATATTCTGTATGAATCATCCTGATTCCCAGATGGCTTGAGATTTTTTTCTCAATTACTACCTCCAGGTTGAGAAAGAGCGTCTATTTGGCCAACAGTCATTCAGTACTAAAATAAATAATAAGCAAAACAACACATGAAGGCACTTGAGCAACCCTAGTATTAAGAGGTGACTTCTCTGAAATTACACAATTTCCTGGAAAAAAAGGCTGAGTAGAATTTTGGAGGGGGGGGGAGTGTCACTGGAGGAACAGTGAGAGTGTTCAGAAACAACAGAAACTGGCTCCTAACAGCTAGGCCCAGGAACAGCCTAAATATGACCTATTTGTATGTCGGAAGGCAAGAAAAACAAATCTCAAATTCAACACACCAATGGACAGATACGGATCTTATATTTTAAGATCAAGTATATGAGGAATAGTTCAGTAAGTTAATACCTTAATGAAAGTCTTTGCTTTGCCATAGATTTCCTGGAAAATGAATGACCAACAATGTAGGGCAGTGTTTCCTGAAAGTTTCTGAAATTTGGTCACATTTCAAAACTTATTCTACTATTAAGAGGAAGGCAATATAAACTAGGTTTAATCTAAGTATGCTAAGATTTTTTGTATGGAATTCAGTACATACAGCATATTGGTGGATTAGATACCAGATATGATACCACCAGGGCATTAGAACAGGTATAGAATTTTACAGATGTATCTTTGACTTTCTCTGTGGATGGATTTAGGAGGAATAACATTACCATCGATTCTTCTGGCCCACTGGCTTCCCAACACAATTTTGGATGATGGAGCAATGTGAGTGCAGATGCACTTTAAATATGGATCAGAGTCCTCTACCTAAGGAGCAGTTAATCCATCCAAATCTTGGTTCATGAAGAACCAAAAATTTCACTAGGCTTCTTTTTCACCTGGGACTTGTGGACTCACCCCTGTCCAAGGGTCTCCAAGGACTACCTCATGGATTTGAGAATTTCAGCAAAACTTTGCAAAATTTGAGGACTTCAGACAAAAATGATGCATTGTCAAAAGGAGACACAGTGCATCACATAGCAAACTCCATTTAAAAACCAAGGGAGTGAACTAGGCTTCTATCTGTTCCTTTAAGAACCTATTTTAATCTGCTGCCTCTTGCTTCATTTTCTATCCAACAACTATTTTCTTACAATAAATTGTAGGATGTTGTGAATTAACTTGCTTCCCTGGATATGTCGTAAGAAAATTGGCTTGACCCAGAAGTTATCCTTCCCACTGCAATGATTGCAAAAAGAAATTTCAAACATCAGTGGTGGCTAACAGCTTTTATTTTTACCCATTCTTAAATGGATCTAAATTGCAGGGCATTATGGTCCTAGCAAGTAAATACACCATATTCAGAATATGTATATTCCAGTCCACAGTTTGGTTTCCATCTGAGTCTACACATGTCAAAATTGTCAAAAAGCATACGGAGGTCTTGTTGCTTCAAACTTAGAGACCATCAAATCTGTGCACAGCATTTTCCAAGAAGAAATACTAACAATGACTAAAAATAAATAAAACTAAACTAAAAATGAATAAAATGAAGAATCCAAACACTCCACCCAATCCCTGGGAATACGGTTCAGAATGCTGTTTACACAGTGGTCAATATACGTAACGTGGAGGTCCTATCCCACTGGTGGACTCTGTCGCCACCTCTCAGCTGCTCCGGCCTCTAAACCCACAAGCAGCACTTTTCCTATACTTATTTTTACCCATTTGGTAATTGTTTTGTCAGCCTTATGTTGTACTGGGCCACTGAGTGATCTTCCCATACATACATTTTGGAAGCTCTCATTCAGAGAATATTTACTTTGAAAAATCAGTTTGTCATTTTCTTTTCAATTTTATCAGATTTCTCCTTCATCCCTTATACCAGCAGAAGCTAACAGTATATTTGTACATTTTAACAGAACAATAGTCTAAAAATCTGTTCTTCTATATCCCATATTACACACTTTGCTCAGTGAACGATACAGGGAAGACAAGTAAATTTATTCAGGCATGATTGGGAAACTGAACTTGTAGTTACTTTCACCAAGGTAGAACAGTGTAGATCTAGGGATTCCCTCATCCCAGCTCTAAATTGAAACGGTGGGATGTAACACATAAATTATGGAGTATCCACTCTGCTACATAATTATTTCCTTGATTCTCCACCTAGATTCTCTTAATCCTCAACCTAAATATTGCCTGCAGTATAACTAGGCCTGAGCTTTAGATTAAAAAATAAATGCAAGAACATTTTGATAACATAAAAAGAACATCCATTTAAACCAGCTGGTGCCTGGAAGAGGTCTACCAATGAATGCACTAAAATGCATTAATTAGGGCTGCTATGCTTCAAATTCAAAGGCAAAGAGGTATTTCAGACCATGAATGGGCACAAATATAGTCATTCGTGATTCCCAAGACAGGTGCCTCTTCTCCCAGGAAAAAGATCTTAAAGGAACCACTGTATGATCCCAGGAAAATATAGGATGGTTTAAGAGTTGCACACTATGTCGGCACCCACCAGAGCTCTGAATCAATTTTTTGTCTTCAAATCCGAAGTGCTGCACAGCCCTAGTATTCCCCTAGTCCTTATCATAAAATTTAATGCAAAATAAATGACAAATTTATGCATTCTTCAATATTTGACTTCTCAATTACAAAGTTAAATTTTCAAACATCAGTTATGTAACTTGCCACAAATGAAATGGCAGAGGACAATTATGAATATGCTGTATAGGACAACCTAGCTGCCTGTTTGGGGTCTGGAGACAAAACTGTATTCAGACACAATCTCTCTTGGTGATCAAGAACATTCTTCACGCCCCATCTAGGGATTTCCAATTTTTACAGGGGAGATTAACCGCTTCATTATAAAACACAAAGATGCTAATAATTTAACTGAGGTCTATGAACATATATTTCCCACATGCTTCCCCTTTTGCCTCTCTGTTTCATTTCTGATAAAATAAACATTGTATTTTTAACTACGTGTAAAGCTCCCATTTTCTGCAAAGTTTTGCCAACCAAGGAGATACAGTCCTATGCTTCTTGGGCAGTAGCCACAGGATTCTGTGGAGCTCCCTGTCTCCAGATGAAGATGGACACTAATAGAGAGAGAAGTTGCTGATACATCCTCCTCCAGTTCTATCCAACAACAGTAAGAGTGAGAAGAAGGATTTCTGTGGGAAGATCAGGAGGTGGTAAAAGGAGGCTTTACCATATCCAAAATACTTTTCTTCCATAGGCATATCCTAGAATCAGAAAAACTACAACAGCTGACATCACTGGTTTGCTGTAGAAAAACCACAGCAACAGCCTAAACAATTATAAAACCAGCAACTATTATAATAAAAAGGGAGAATAAAAAAAATCAATCCTATTACTTTTTCCTTTAAAATCAACTAGTACTTTGTACCTTAAGCATCAGGTGACTTTCCATAAGAAGAACATAATTCCGTTCATTAGAATTGAAACACAACAAACTACTACTTACGATGCAAGCTGAGAGAGATGTTGATAGTCCGTTCCTCAACAAACCCTTTGAGATTAGGGATTTTGGCACATTTGAGAATAGTCTGGGAGGAACTGTCACCAACATGGACCCAGCAGACAGTGTCTTCTATGTAGTTGAAGTCCATGGCAGTAGTCTGTTTGGTGCTAGTTGGGCTGATGTTGGAGACAGGCCCACCATTCAGGTAGGTAGCCATGATGTTCTGAGAATTGGCAATGAGTAGGATGGGTGGTCGTTCTACTGGTTCTGATAAGAAAAGAAAAACCAATGGAGAAGCAAGGTTGAAGGCCAGGTCACATCTTTCTTCAAAGAGATACACAGGAGAAACATCCCAAATGCAATTGCAAGGGAAACCCCAAAGTAACAACTGTATGCCAACAGTGTGCATACAGAATGAGTTCTTTTCACTAACATTAGAAACAGCAACAAAACCTATGGGGAAATTTTTAAGGAAGGCAGGTAAGAAAAAACAAACTACTATAGGAGCAGATTCTCACACTGCCATGCTTCCTATCACCAATGAAAAAGAAATCACAGGTAAATAGGATACTTGTGCTTCTTGTACAAACAGCAAATCACTTCAAACTGGGGGCACATTACTAGCAAGGCAACTTTGCTCAAGGGAGTGAATTTCAAGGTATTAGGGGTAAAGACCATTTCACGGTGTCAACAATTCAAAGTTTCTGAGGAAATAACCTGGTAGCTTTTGCTACAGAAACCAACAGAAAATAGCTGCATTTTCAGCAGACACACATATTTGTGAGAAACTGAAAGACCTATCAAACTGAGCTTTGGCACTTAAAAATAGAAATGCTTTGCAAAGTGGCAGCCGTGGCCTACAGGATATTCAACCAGGAATAAAAAGAAATGATGTACCATTCTTGGCTTTGCAAGATTTGTGATCAGGCTGGAGCAGATATCCCTCAACACAGCTGCATATGTAGGAACCATCATGGTTGGTGCAGGTTTGGCTACAGGTACCATAAATAGTACACTCATCAAAATCTGTTTTGAATGAGGAGAAAAAGGACAATTACAAAAACTCAGGGAGGAAAAATACTTATTTTAGTTGCAGTATTTACTACAATTTACACACCACTCAATCCAACAAGGCTCAAAGCAGCTTACAAAAAATAAAATAAAAATCCAAACAAACAATAACAAAACAAAAACAACCTGAGAGAGAGAAATTCAAATTAAAAAGGATGAATAACAATAATTTTAGATTTTGTCTGTTAGACTTATATCCAGGGCTGTGGAGTCGGCACATAAAACCTTCAACTCCGACTCCAACTCCTTTAATTATATATTAAATTATAAGTATTTATTTTATTTATTTTTATTTATACATAGACTTATCCCCACCCATCTCCCCGCAATGGGGGACTCTGGGCAGT